CGAGAGAGCTGCGACCTGAGAGCCGGCGCCATTACTCCTCACTCCTAACGTGTTTTCTGTCATCACCGGTCAAAGTAATGTTTCTTGTTTCTCCGGCGTAGCTGATTTGTCCGCAGCTGCACCAGATCCGGTAAAAAACCCCGTGACAGCGGTTCTTTCGGCCTGCGGTTTGCCTTCAGTCTGTATGCTACTTAAACTCCTAATAACGATTCTCGGGACGGTCTTAACGTACGTGAGAACTCGTAGACAAAGTTTAGGATCCGTGCTGTTTGGTGCGCATATAGCCATTCGTTTTGAGCACTCCCCGTCAAAGTTATTGCAATTCAGCAATCTCTTCGCCAGTACACTGCAGAGCTTGACAACATGCCGACAGAGCTTACTTTAACAACTTGTTTGCGGCTGACTTGGTCGTTTCTGCTGATGTTGAGTACTCACGCCATAGTTTTCGCTCTCCCGAAAACTTTGCTTATTTAGCTCATCACAAACGTTTCAGCAGAAGACAAGATTAAGGCAGTCCAACTGGTTAGCTCTTTTCCTTCCCCGCCCTGAACTAAACGTCCGGGAAAAGCGTCGCAAGCGTGGTTACCTAGAGACCGTTTCAGCAACAGCCCTGAACCTCCACAATCGGGCGCGCTTGACAGATTTCCCCAGCGGAACGTTGGTTTAAACGTAACGACGCATTAACTGATACAAGCGAAAAGGCAAGTTCCAGGAAGCAGTGGACAAAAAAGGCTCGACTTTTGGAACACACACTTTGCTCAACTGGACCCTCCGGTCCATCATCTAGCCCTCCACTCATATGGCATGCAAGCACACATCTACTACAATTTCAGACCCTGTATTCGTCGAAGACTATTGCGGTTTTTTTCATAGACATTTCAGAGAATTTTGAGTCCGGATTTCCTGCTAAAAGTCCTACACGCGCACTCGAGCTCGGTACATGGGCCATCAGTGGAAGGGCCAGACGTCTCCCGGATGACGTAACCACCGCCGCCGCAGTGTCTGGATGAATAGCCGCCTTAATCAGCGATGATTCGGAGTCTTCCGACCCCAACTCCCCACCCCCACCCGGTTGCTGCTGAACGCTATCCGCTTTTGGCCGAAACGAGTGATTCTGCCAACAGCGCCTCGGAGCTGCGGGTGTCACGTGACCTACTCAGTACACGCCAGTCTCGTCGACTGACCGGACGCCGACGTCGTACGTCCGGATGACTCACGCCTGACGACGTGGGCGGAAGGCGTGACCCCGAGCTGAGGGGGCTGAGTCAGCATTCAGGTCGGCGAATGTGCGACGACGTTTGGCAACCAGCATCAAACAAGGTCGTTCTATTTCTCTCCGTCTACCTCCTCATGAGGAGACGGCAACAGATTCATCGAAGTTGGGCGGTTTTCTACCAAAGACGGCAGCGGTTCGCAACCTTGCGCGCAGCTGCAACCAAGAGGTTCGCTTCGTGAGAGTCCATGCTGTCTGTTAACCTCAAAAATGCGTCCCCTCCCTTCCCCGATGAATCAGTAAAAAGCAGCCAGCGCCCTGCTTTATAACTCGTCTTACTGTCGATCAAACCACCTCAAGAAGAAAAATTAACTAAAAAGAAGAGGTGGACACGGAAATAAGTGCTGCCCTTATTGGAAATGGCCTTGAGATAAATTACGGGGCGGTACCTATTACCGTGTCCCAACCTCAACCTTAACACCAACGCTGACCCCTGGAAATCAGCGCAAGGCCACATGCTATACGGGGATCAGTTATTCCCATACCCTGTCAAAAGAAAGAGAGGTATTCACTGTGAGACGTTAGCCGAGGGGAGAGACGACAGAAAATGCAGGTAGTTTGATACAGAATTGAAGGCAAACAAGCCCGAAACAGTGCTGTAGCAATCTACTCCCTGACTCTGTCGTCTCCCTCTGCAAGTACTATACCAGTCTACCTACATCTCCTGTCGTCCCTCCTCGCTGTTATTATAACTTGACCGACCTCGGTACCCATTCCCGTACGAATAAGTGCCCGATCTGCAGCGCAGAGGATGTCAGGTGGCGAGGCACGGATAAATTTCGGTTCAATAAAGCGCTTAGAATCCCTCGCCCAGACCCCGTCTGTGGTTCCTGAATAAAGTCAGAATAAGCCAACAATAACTATTCATAGATTTGCCCGCATGTCCGTTGTCACATCCTCTGCAAAGTTTAAAGCAACGATTTCGTTTGCTCATATTCAGAGACTGGATAGTCGTGGCGCGTGGATTGTGTGCGTTTTTTGTCTGATGCATGAACCGCCAATGGTGACTGTGTGTGGGTGTGCAGAGCGGACGATGCACTCTGCTCTGGTCTGTGTCACCCCTCCTCTCGTCCACCGGGGGGAGAAAAAATTCGCAAATCCAAACAGAGGGCGAGCACGCGTGTCTCTGACGTTTGACTGAGCACTCTGCAATCATTCAGGCTTCTTGTCCCAGTCATGGTATGTGAATTCACCCGGGCCCAAGTACTCAACGATGAAAAAAAATTATAGATGCTTTCTGTCTGAGCAACATGGGTTTTCACCTTCGACGTTGAGATCAAAATCCTAACCTCCAAATGATATTTATAAATTCCCATTCGCGGTCGTCGGCCTGTTTTCTCGGAGTGTTTGCCCTCTGTAACTTCATTAAAGTCGGTAAACGACGCTGAACTTTTCCTGGCTACGGATGTGGTCTTTTGACTGCATCAATTTCCGGCGGATTATTGATTCAGGTCCGTGAGAGACTCCTGTCTAGAGTGTTGCGGGAGAGCTGACCACGGACATGGACGACACCTTTCACATATAGGATGCTCCCCCATTATCTCGGTTGACTGGACTCATAAATTCTCTGTCTTCGGAGCGTTCTGCTTCCCTCAACGAATGCTCGTGGGCACCCGTCGACTCCGGAGGCCTCTCAGAGGCACTAACGGTGTGCCGCTTGGATGCTGTCGCAGTATAGTGAGTTTCCTGTCGCCGGTGAGACGTGCATTGGCAGCTTGGTTTGCGTTGCAATGGTAGGGGCCGCCGTCGCCGTAACTTGGAAGGCTACCAACCGAAAAGCCAACTCAGACCTCGCAGGCAGCCCAGTGTACGTTTGTGCACGGCGTGGTGGACTGATACGGTAGATGACCTAACTCATGAAATTTCGAGACCGATATTTGAGTTGAGGGGACGACATATATTTGGTGTGGTTATTTTTGTTTTTAGAATTGATTAGAATCCCAAAAAGTCCTTTTATAAAGAAGAAGTCATGTTAGTTCACTTTTATTCAGGGAAACGGACCAAATTTAGGCAAATTTTGACATCTCCGGATATCCACTTAATTTCCGATTCTAATAAGTATCCCCTATTAAAACCTCTTATTTGCACGCGTTGCGTTATGAAGAAACTTTCATATAACAAATAAAAATATCAAAGGTAGCCACTCTGGAAACGGAAATTGTGATTTTTAGTTCATGAAGACCAGGTCGAGTCGAGTATGTAAAAACACAGTATTCTCATGAATCAAGAAGTAATCTAATATTTTAGACCACAGCCAGCCTCTCTACTTGCGGCCTTTGAAGCATTTTTATCCCCACCGACAGCCCGGACCTAAATCCCATCGAAAATATTTTTGCCCTGATCAAAAGAAATAGGGACAAGGCAGGGAAACATATTTCTATGGGACAGAAGTTACAATTTTTGCTTAATAATTCCATAGACCAATCCACCATAGACGGCTTGGTAGTCTCCATGCCCTCCCGCCTTACAGCAACTTTAAAAGCTAAAGGACAATCAACGAAGTACTAACACGTTATATTTGTTACTGCTTTTCATTTTTTGTCGTTTTGTGAAATTTACCTTCTCTGCTGACAGTTATACTAGACTCTGAATATTTGGCCTGTCATACAGTCGATTTTTTGTTTTGGTGGTTTTTTCCTAAAATAAGTTATTACTTAGTCAATAAATAATACTTTATAAACCAAACTATGCCTTGTTTTGAAGCTCAGTCGTATATTTAACGCAGAATAACTTTCGTGGATGCGGGGTGATAGTATCGTGTGCTACAGCGATTTAAGTTTACAGTTCATGACGGTTCATCAGATAGGTCACGAACTGAAGTCAGGCTTAATGGCCACCTACTTACAGGGCGGCCTAAATGACGCTCCCACGCATATAAAATCCGAGACGCCCACACCCTTTGTGCGAAATTCCAGGGTGCCGTGTGAGGACCAGGCCGTGCGCGTGGCACGCGTAGACGGGCTCTTTAGCTCCTCAACTATCTGCACCCAACCGCCGCATCAGATGGCTGACCGGTTCAGACAGTGGACTGGTGCCTGCGAGAGGGAAGAGGGAGAGAGTTAGATCGACTGTTAGCACATACAGTGCGTGACCGATCTCATGAAATGTCGGCCGAAATTCTGAAATGCGTTTTCGATTAGGAGGGAATACTTAGGTAGATTTGTAATACTGATTATCTTGCAGCGTAATCCTATAACATTTCAGACTCGGCAGGATGTCGGCTTTTGAATGCACTTATTTTCAACCTCCTGTAAGAACCGTACTCGGCAAAAAATGACTACTTAAGTAGCATGCACTTTTCCCAATGATTTTCGATGGTTATATAAATTCAAACATATTTCATAGAAACCATGGACAAGAAATGCTTTCTTTTACTCATTTGATAGAGACTTGCGTCTTTTATGTAATGTATACTTGAAGAAGGAGCGCGGCGGAGATCATATCCGTGGTCCCGCGATGACGGCGGAAACCGCATTGGCTTTCCGACAGAAGACCTTGTTCTAGGTGGTTGTTCAGACGGTTGAGAAGGATGCGATCAAAGTCTCTTCTCGGCTATGTTAAGCAAGATGCCTCGGTGGTTGTCGCAGAGTTGGCGGTTTCCCTTCCGCTTGTATGGATGCCCGATTATGGTGTCTTTGAGCTCCCGTGAGGCTTCTCCATGACGCCATATCTCCTGGAAGAGCGCAGTCAGGTAATCCATGAGTTGGGGGCCACCGTACTAGTACATCTAAGTAGGGATTGCGTCCGATCCGGGCGCTTGACCGCTGGAGAGCTGCTGCACGGCCCTGACGGTTTCGCGGAGAAAGGACGAGAAGTCGAGGTCGGCAATGGTCTCCACCTGAGACAGACGGGCAATGGTGGTGTTGGAGATAGTGGAGGGGCGGCTGAGGACGTACTCGGCCCATCGCTGTAGAATTTGTGTCTTCTCAGTCAGGAGGGTACTGTCATCGGCGCTGAGGAGAGGAGCGGTGACTTTGGTTGGCGGACCGTAGAAAGCTTCGATTACAGAGAAGAAATTCTTCCATTCGTTGCGGTCCGCGGACCCTCGGATCTCCTCGACCTTGCAAGCCGTCCAGGCGTCCTGCATCTGGTGCAGCCGCTGCGGAACGAGGCGACGACTAAGGTAGAAAGCAGCTCTGTTGCCGTCCGTGGGGCGGTCGACCTAGGCTTTATGCAGGCAGTTTTTATCGGCGAGCAGGTTACTGATGCCAGTGCCGTTGACTAGACCGTGTCCCGCAGTTGACACCACCGGTTCTTCACGGAGGCGTTCTTGCCAGAGGCGGTGGCAGCGCCTGGAATGTTGTCCAGCCGTTGAGCTACCTCGTTACTGAAATGGAGATGGGGCACGGGCAAAGATAACAAGGCAATATTCAGCTTACCTGGGGGTCGCTTACCTTGTGGTCTCCTGCGAGGCCATAGGCGAATACGCATCTTCAAGATGACGAGGCGTCAGCGCCCCCGATCGCCTTTGTTACCAGCACGTCTCGCTGGTCTCGCCTCTGGACGAGGACATAGTCCAGCAGGTGCCACTGACGCTACCGAGGATGCCTGCAGGTGTCCTTCTCTCGCTCCGGCAGACAGAAGAACGTGTTCGTCAGGATGAGGCGGTGTTCTGCGCAGGTGCGGAGAAGCAGCAGACCATTGTCGTTTGAGCCGCGGAGACCATGGGGACCCAGCACTCCACTTCAGGCTGCATGGTCTGTGCCGACGCCGGGATTGAAGTCACCAAGAACAATCAACTTATCCGCCTTCGACACAGTCGTCAGGAGGGTGTGCAGGTCCTCCTGGAATTTGCCCCTTGCGGCGTCAGGGCTGGTCATCGGGGGAGCGTAGGCCCTGATTATGGTGGCGAACTTGCCTCCCTGGAGAGGCAGGTGGAGACTCATCAGGCGATCGTTGATGCTCTGCGGCTGACAGGATAGTCATCCCACAATGTTGTTCCGGATGGCGAAGGCGACACCCGTGTTTCGTCGCTCTGGCCTGGGGCGACCACTCCAGAAGAAGATGTAGCCAGCACCCACCTCCTCCAGTTGGCCTAGTTCGGAGAACCGGGTCTCGCTGAGTGCGGCGATGTTTGTCTTGTAGCGCGCCAGTTCCCGAGCCACTAGCGCCGTCCTCCGTGCCGGTCCATTGCTGCACGGATTGTCTAAAAGTGAGCGAACATTCCAGGCTGCCAGAATGAGCAGACTCACCCTACCATTCTGGCGATTTCGGCGGTGAAAAGGAGGAGGGGAAAAAGAAGAGTAAACAGGAAGAGGAACAGAGAGATTGTTGTTGTTTCTGTTCTGATTGCTTCGACCGTGTGTTTTTTGTCTGCACCCACGGTTAGTCTACAGATAGCATTGCTACCAGCAATTTGCAGGGCACTTTTTCTAGCCCCTCTCCTTGCGAGGAAGCAGTGCCTCCCGAAATAGGGCTGCTCGGCTATCCCAGAGGGCTGCCGAACTCCACTACGGGCCACGGCTTTGGTGTATTGGGAGAACGACCCGAATCAGCCTGGAACGTAGGTTCATTGGCCACGTGGCCTTCCGCGGTGGTCCAGACGGAGCCTCGTCTCAACGATGCCGACGCGAAGATCCATCCAGCCAGCGGGGTCCACATTACCGTGAGGGCAGGCGCACACACGGATACCCTCACCTGGTTTAGCCAGCCAGTCGAGGCGGTTGCCCGGGGCGTGACCGATGGGCGAAGCCCAGCTTCGGGAGCCAAATGTGAAAGTTGAGTGTTAGCAAATTGACGCTGGGCGTAGTCTGTACCTGGAAGCAAGTGAGCGACCTACTACGACCATCATGCGGACCAACCGCTGGACACCCCTGCACCCCACGCAAACTCTCTCTCTCTCACACACACACACTCACACATCGTCACACAGTCCACTATAAGAGGGCTTATTTATAGTTTCCCCTCAACCAGGACACTTTAAACTGTCTACTTGCCTATTTATCGCGTCTGTTTGAAGCTCGCCCCATGGTATGGATCGGTAATTGAAACGAAATCTTTTATTGTTGAACAGAACGAGGATGCAAACCGACTGCGACGAGTGCATCTCACTAGGTTCCAGTTATCTTGTACCTTTCTTATTGTTGATGGACATCAGCTACCCAGATTCCGCTGATAATAACCGACTTTTCTCACACCGTTCCATCCATCATGTAACAGAGAATTTTAAGTTCACCCAAATGCAATTATTAACTCGCCCCCTTCCATCTCTAGAGCCTAAAACATTGTCATTTCTCTGTCGGCCACCCTGACGTCCTCGAAAGGATGGTGGTGATGCGTGGGGCGAATGAAACGTCCACTCCTCAGTTTCTACGCGCTCTGCAATTGGCCCATTTGATCATAGTGCGGCGATGTACCTACTTACTTCTACTTTGGGACACGGATGTACTTTAATAGTACATTGGGCTCTCCAGACAAACAAATGGACGTCCATTACTTTAACCAACGAAGCATTGAGGAACGTTCTACTTTCAACTACCGCACTCCCCAGAGGACTATGGTACGGTAGGTGTGTGCATGCACGCGTGTGTGCGCGTGCGCTTTAGTTGCCTTGGCAACTACCTGTCCACTAACTAGGCCACTGAACGTGCCAAGTCGGAGCAGCATATCGACAGGGGAGGCAGCTCTCACCACCAAGCTCATGGACACAGCCGCGTAACATGCGGAAACAGGTATTCTCCCGTGTTACAGGTGGCCTTACGCTAAACTCCAGGGGAGGCAGGTTCGGGGTTAGGGTTAGGTTAAGGGATAGACTTAGGGTTTGTGGCATGGCACGCGACACTCATAATGCAGGGGGTACCTACGCCGCGTACAACGGGAATTCTGTCCTTGGTTGCTTTCAGTAGGGGATCCCCTTCACTGGCGATGCCATACGTTATCTGAACGGTATAGTTAAGAAGACTCATCGTTGGGAACACTAGCATCCCATGCCGGGTAGTCCCGAGTCGCAGACGGTATGACTGAAAGCCCAGCCCAGATGATTTTCTCGATCGAAATTTTTCAACTGAGGCAGATATTAAAATCAGCTAATTTGGTCTTGTTTTAGGACAACCTTATCGTCAGCTGTTGCGACAGCAAGTGGTTCCTGCGTTAGATAGCCTTGAGGGACACGGATGTAGTTTAATAGTACATTGGGCTACCCAGACAAACAAATGGACGTCTATTACTTTGACCAACGGAGAATCGAGGAACGTTCTACTGCCAACTACCGCAGGTCCCAGAGGGCTATGACACAGGTGTGTTCACGTACGCGGATGTGCTTGCGTGCACCTTAGTTGCCCCGGCAACTACCTGTCCATTAACTAGGCCGCTGACCGTGTACAGCTGGAGTAGCATATCGACGAGAGAGGAAGCCTTTACCATCAAGCTCACAGACTCAGTCAGATGACAGTCCGACCGTCCACCATGTGCTCCACATCAAGATGACAGCAGGCACAGTATTTCGCGCTGAATTAGTTTATATTGAGAATAGACTTGCGCAGCCTCTACCCCACTCTCTCCTCCTCTTCTCCCACCTGGGCTCGATGTCGAGACATAGTGAAGAAGACCGGAGGCTGGAGAGGACGCAGGTGGCTGGTACGGTCGGACCCGCACCTAGACGTACCACCAAACTCCCCGGTCCATAACAAACAACTGACCAGGACTTTACCAACAACAGCACGACAACGGGTCACAAAGCCAAGGATGACTGGGCAGCCATGCACAAGACCTGTGTACTCAGCGGGAGCGCAAGCGCATCTACTGGCAGGGAACCAGGTGTCAGAGAACTGTCAACGCGCACCAGACTGCGAGGGTCATGGTTTGTTGATCGCGGCATAGCAGACGCGCAGAATCCTTAAGGCCCAGAAGGACAGCACGTAGCCTTCTCAGAAAATGAAGGTGCGGTCACTGGAACAAGAAATTTATTTGCCTGACGTTTCGGATTCTCACTCGAATCCATCATCAGACAGTCGCACATAAAGGTGATGATGGCACAGGGAGTGCAGTATTTATAACACGTAGCTGCCGTGGGACCATGTGCGCGCTGTAATTAACAGCTCTCGCAATCACCGCTGGGGTCTTACTTGATGCGGTGGAGGCTTGTCAGTCCGAGCCCGAGTAGTTAGTGACCGTAATTTCGTCATCCGTACTGGGTGCTAGTGTGACGATTGCTCGGCAAATTGGGTCACTGGGTTAATTGCCCGTCCGCGCCCTCCCCACGTGACTGATTCCCCTGCCCAGGTAAAATATCAGCACCGAATATGGTACCGGGAGGTCATTGTGCTTTCTACTTCTACTTAGCCTGAGCCATCACCCTCCAAAGGCTGGGCGGCAACCAATCAGTCAGCGACTTGAAAGCACTACCAGTGTATAACACACACTCCTCACATGCGTGGGAGTGCCACAGGTCATGTTAAGAAGGAGCCCTTAAGCCTGACTCTCAGTCCATCAGTCCGCCACCCCACACAAGCACAAATGGACAGACTGCATGGACTGAGTTGAGACGTCAGTCGGCAGCCTTCCAAGCTACGGCGCTTGGCGCACCTTTTTAGGGGGGCAAACTCCGACGAGGAGAGTGTTATCCCATGAGAAGAAGCGCCCAGTGTCGGGAGTGTGCATGGCCATTTGAGACAGGTAATCTCGCCTCTCAACTGCCAGCTGGTGCTCGTGAATGCGTGTAAAGGCAGACTTTCCCCTTTGGCCACAATATACGGCCTCACAGGCACCGTATGGGATCTTATAGACGACTTCCTTCTTATCTAAATAGCCAATTCTACCTTAAGAGTTTGAAAGCTGAGTGCGTAAAATAGTCGTTGGTTTGTGCGCCACTTTTATTTGGCGTTTTCTCAAGTGTCTTTCAATAAAATTAGACACATTCCTGATGTAAGAAAAGATTGGTTGATTATTAACTTTGGGCACTTGATTGGAACTATCTAGCTCCTCTGCTTTCAACTCTAGTTGTCTCATGCATCGACGTACGAAATCTCTAGGATAACCATTCTAGGAAAATAATTCGAACAGGTCATTTAGCTCGATCTGGTAGTTTTTTCGTCAGAACAATGTGTTTCCGCTCGAAGTAGCAGACTTTTGGCAGTATTCCGCTGTGAGAGATTAGACTGGTGCTCTCATAATGTATACTTACTTCCGCATGTTTCTTTGCGGTAAGCGGATGTGTGTAATGTTCCGTCAGTTTTTCGCTGTACGAGAACATCCAGAAATTGGAGTTTATTGTCAACCTCATATCAGCCTCAATTAAAACGTTTCTATATGCATATAACAGGCACACAGTAGCCACTGCGAGGCAGATCTTAAACTGGTTGGCGAAGGGAGTAATCAATGGCACATGCCATTTTCACTGACAAAATGCCATCTCCTGATGTCTGGCTCAGAAAACTTCTTCTCATAATTTTCGGTGATCACTAGAACTAAAAGAAACGCCGGCAGTAAAGACAGATCCGAGCTAATATAAACACACTTGATGTCAAAAATCTTCCCGAAAGCCACTAGCTCGAGTAGATTTATATGCAAAAATTTCATCTCGAATTGCCAAAACATACATCTTTGTAAAATGCTAACTTTACGTCCCTTAGATTGCTGTTCAACTTTCTTTGGCATAATGTCGTCGGATAGCCTAAAGAAATTGGAAGGCATTTAGTGAGGTTTTACTCAGTCTTTGTCTAAATGCGACGGCCTCTATGGGTCATACATAGAATTTTAGAACCCTCTGTACCAGGGGACTCCAAAGTGGTCTCAACTTCTTATGAAAAGTCATACTCGACCCGAATATACTCAAAATGAATGTGCTACCGACCGCAACGGTTCGCAGAGCACTGGAAATAACGAAGATGCGATAAGAATTCCGAATTTCAGAAAGTCAACACTGTCATACATCTGCTCCATAAGGTACGCGACTAGGTAAAGACGAAACCTGTTAGGAGTGAAAATATGAATCTGGGAATTTCTTACAAGTTTTAATAAGCGAATGCATCGGTGGAGGGTGCGCTCACCGATCGCGCTACGGAACTCGTCCCGCTTTGTGTCATCGGGCTCTCTCTGGATTCCCGCCAGCAGCCACATAGCGGTGCGTAATACAGGCAAAAGAGCATTACCGGCAGAGACAAAGGAGACTGGAATGGCCATTTCTAGCCTATTAGCCGTCATCAGCCAGTCATACCCAACTCCGAAGTGTGAAACACCTGGGACTCGGTCCCGCGGCCCGTTGATTAGAAGTCCAACGTCCCTAACCACTGAGTCAGAAATGGCCATCCAGTCTCTCTTGTCTTTGTCGGTAATGCTATTCTGCCCTTGTTACGGGTCGCTGCTAGCGGGACTCGAGAGAGAGAGAGAGAGAGAGCGAATGAGTTCCGTGGCGCGGATGCGTTGACTTGCCGTGAGGACGGGTCAGCCCCACTGTTCCTTTCCTCTGCCATGTATCATCGGTCTGCATGATTCAAGCTGCAGATCTGGATTGGCGTGAATCCCCGGTCCAAGGCCTGTCACAGACACACCCTCATGTACGCCGATAGCTAGATTTTGCATAGGCTTGGTGTAGCCTACTAAACTCACACCACTATTAGGTCCAATGAACCTGCTGCGTAGCCCACACCGTGATGATATGTGTCATGGAAGGAATGCGTGAGCTGTAGCGGTTACTGCGTACGTACCGTCAAGCGCATACAACGGAATAGGCACATATGATGTCTGGATTTGTGGCGCAGTGATAGCGGACGTGATGGGTACAGATTGCGGCTGTAGACAGTTACTCTCGGATAGGTTTTCGATTGGCTGAATAAACAATCATACAATTAAGGATGAGTCGGTGTTACGCCTCACTGCTACTGATGACGGGGGATGTAGTTGCCGTTGTCGTTGGTGTTCAGCAGCGTTCTCGCCGCGATTGGAGCCAACACTGAAGTGTGGTGTTACAGTGATGAGTAGAATGGATGACTTCCGTGATGACACCGGCGATGATGTCTTTTGCATCATATGAAGTGAGTAGAGTCATGACCGTGGACCCGAGGGTGATTAACGTTCAGAAGAATAAGAGATGCGATCGCTAGAACAAGAAGTTTATTGGCCTGACGTTTTGGATTCTCGCTCGAACTCATCATCAGAGACAGTTGCAGAGAAAGGTAGTGAAGGCACAAAGACTGCAGTACGTAGCTGCATGGGACCAAATGGGTACTATAATTAAGAGCTCTCGCGATCACCGCAGGGGGCCGTAATTGAAACGATGATGGCTCATCAGTGCGGGTCCGAGTCGTTAACTGCCGTAATTTCATCATGCGTGTTAGATGTTGGCGTGATGATTGCTCGGCCGTTTGGCCCGCTGCTACCGGGACTGTGGCTCGGCCGCGCCCTCCCCACGTGACTGATTCCCCTGCGCAGGGAATGTCTCAGTACGGAATATGGTACCGGGAGGTCATTGTGCTTGTTGATGGATTGCGGGCCTGAGAACCATGATTCGAGCAGCTCGCGGCTCACGCGGTCGTCACTTCTTCCAAAGATTTCTGCCTCTTGCAGCTCAAAAATACGGTCGGGTCCCACGAAATGAGCCGCCACCTGAGAGCTAGCGTTTTTCCTCCCCATTGATGCTTTGTGTCCGGCCATTCGCGTCCGGAGTAATCCCCCGGTTTCTCCGACGTAGTTTCTCTGTCCGCAACTGCACCAGATCCGGTAACCGACCCCAGACGTTTCATGCCGTGGCAGTGGGTCTTTCGGCCTCATGACTTTGTGCCAGATGGTTGCTTCCGGTCTGTGTGCAACCCCAAATTCAAGTGGAATGAGAAGGCGGTTGATGGTTTCCGAGACGTTCCTCACGTACGGAAGAGCTCGCCAAAATTTAGGGCCGCTCGAATATCCGTTTGCGTACGCACTGGTTGACAAAGTTGCGCGGCTAGTCATTGGCTCTCAGTACCCGTCGAAG